CATGCAATAGGCTAGGATTAACTCCCACCGAATGAGGTGGTGTAGGATTCTTAATGTAATGACAGTACTATCAATTAATAAATAAAGTCTCGCATTTTATGCTTATTTGCAGTAAAAAAAAAAAAAAAATTAAAATTAAAATTAAAAAATTATATTTGTTCTTTATAAATTTGCTTGGTTATTTTTTTATTTCAATTATTTACTGTATATTATAATATTTCATTTTAAATTTCAAATTCAGAATTACAATTACTAAATAAGTTATATTTGTTTTATTATAATATTCATTAAGTTTTATTACATATTTTTTTAATGTTAATTGTACTATCATATTAAATTTTTTATTGTTTGCATTATCTTTTATATAATCAAATAGTAAATTATATAAAGAAACAATTATAATAAGAGTTAAATATGTTTTTGTTAATTGTAACATTTCATATTATAACATGTAATATTTTATGTTAAGAAGTTATAAATAAGATATCATTTATAAAATATGAAAGAAACCAGACAACTCTATTATTTTTCAAAGAAAAAGTATTTTCTTATATATATGTTTTTCTAATATAAATAAAAAAATAGAAATATAAGCTAAAACTAGTATATATAATCTTATTGGTCCTTTAGAGATCATATACATGTAATATAAAATGAATCAATAAAATAATAAATTAATATTTCATTCTAATTATCCTAATACTTTTAAAATTGAAATTGGAAGTCACATATTATATATCATATACTAAATATCATCTATATATATTACATGTCCTAGGTATAATAAAGAATTATTAATTCAAAATATTTCAAGTTTCTAATGTTCTAGAAAAACATAGTTTAAACTATTGTATTCCTAAAATATTGCTTCTTTTATTAATTTGTTTATGCTACTTGTATAGTTTATTTTGTGTCACTCACTTTATCAATAGTATTGTTGCAAAAAAAAAAATAAGTAAAAGATTTGTAAAATAAAAAACAGGAATAAGAAAAAAAAATAAACATAAAAAAAGGAAAACAAAAAAAAAATAATAATAATAAAAAAAAAAGGTAAATAACTCAAATTTTTTAAAAAGAAAAATTTTAAATATTTTGAAGAGAAATTAAAAAGAGTTTTTATTAATTTTTATAATTTATTATATATTATTTCTATATAAAATCAATTTATATATTAATTTAATAGATATTAAATTATAATATCAAAGGTAACAATATACAGTCAAACCTGGATATAATGAAGCCTTTGGGCTAATTAGTAAAAATTGAAAAAAAATTGTTTAAAATTTTATTATAAAGAATTTTTAAAAATTTATATAATAAAATTCTCTTTTTATAATGAATTTTGAATAAATTCAAAATTCAAAAATTCGTTATAACCAATATTTTATTATAACTTTGTTATAAACAGGTTCATTATATCCAAGTTTAACTGTATTTGTTTTTAATTAATAGATTTAATAATTATTTTTTTATAATATTTAATATTTTTTAAAAAAAAATTATTGGAATTTTATTTTAATTCAATAATAAAAATTATTTATTTTAAGATAATATTTATATAATAAGTTTTAAATAATAATAAAAATATAAAATTGTTTAAACAATAAGTTTAATTATAAATATATTTTAAATATTCTTAAGCAATAAATAAAAAAATAATAAATTTAATTATAGATAATAGTAAAAGATTATTTTCAATAAATTGGAAAATAATTTTAAGTAAAGATTTTACTTGTTAAGTAAAAATATTATTTTTTGTTTTTTTAAAAAAATTTTTTTTATAATATCAGTTAATAAAACCTTGATACATTAGTTTGAACTTTTATTTTCAAATAAGCCAATATACTGTATTTGAATAACTTGAATATAAATTTATTTACATATAATAAACTTTGTATAATATATAAATATTACATATAATAAACTTTGTATAATATATAAATATTACATATATAAAGTATTAACATTAATAGCAAAATCCAGCTGGTGTAAAAAAAAAACCAAAAAAAATAATTTTTATAATTTTTACTATATAAAATTTTTTTGTCATATTTAAAATATAAATAAAAATTTGCCCGAAAACTTTGTATATATTATGATAAAATTTAAGCCTGCCAATCAATCAATTGGTATTACGCGCCAAATATTATAACCAAGGCCATAAAACTTGAAGATGAACAAAATGAATAAAATTGGCGTACCCGTTCGCAGGCAAGAGCTTTTTCAACAACAAATATGAGCGTCTAGTTCTTATAATAGAATTTTTTTTGCCAATTGGAGTTAATCTAAAAAAAAAAAAAATTTTTTTGATCTTTTCGCGATTTTCTTTATAGATATCCGATGTCTAGCTCAAAAGCTTCTCCGACAACCAAATGCCAGAAGTGTTTAGAACTTGGTCATTGGGTAAAGCATCAGAATTATATTTGGTAATTGTTTAACTGACATTACTCAGAGATTTCTCCTTCAGACATATGAATGTAAGAATAATCGGGTTTATAAAGCCCGACCAACTAGAACTCAACAACTTACAAAACCTTTGAAACCAATATCTGTTGAATTACCCAAGGATCTGGATCCCAAGTAAGTGAGAAGTATAGGTATTACTTTAAGAAAATCGATTAATATTTTGATGTGCTATCTGTTTTTTTTTTTTAGTAAAGAAATTGTTCAAAATTTAGAAAAGACACCAGAGGAAAAGACTCACAAAAGAAAACGGCGTCGAAAAGAAAAGTAAGCAAAATAAATTAAAAGTATAATAATAATAATATTGTCTATAAGTATTATGGTCAAAAGCCTAACATAAAATTAATATACAGGGATTCATCTTCGTCATCATCCGACGAATCATCATCAAGTTCTTCGAGTGACAGTGAGAGTGATTCTTCAGCTACTGCTTCATCTAGTGTTAGTTCAAGTGGTTCAAGCTCGGATAGTGATAGCGGATCAAGTTCTACAAGTTCATCTCAATCATCATCATCATCATCAGATTCAGACAGTGCTGAAATATCATATAATAAGAAAAGAAAACGAGATAATAATTAGTTGTTCTTAATTATATAATGAAGGTTAATCTATTTATGTATATATTCATTACTGGAATTAATTATTATATCGACGTGGAAAATCTCGTAGAGTATTATACAGGAATGTGTGTTGGAATTTCATACGGTCAACCAAATTCATTATTCTAAAGTTGTTGATATCTAAAATGCTTTGACGGTCTTAAAAATTAATATATACGCCATATAGAATTCATTATTATTTAATATAAGACGTTAAATTCTTAATTTCCTTAATTTATAAAATTACCATTTGCATACCTCAATCAGATTATATAAAGTCTTTAATTACCCTTGAAATTGAATCTAATATGACTCAATAAAGTTAGTCTTTACTACAGTCGAACCTCGTTATACCGAAGGAGTAAGTAAAAACCCGCTATACTGAAGGTAAGCACAGAAACGTCTATAGCAAATTTAGCCCGTTATATCGGATTTACTAATTGAACCTTGTTATACCGAATTTCTTGAAATTTTTGCCTTATGGTCCCGACCTATTCGTTATAACGAGGTTTGACTGTATGCATATCATATCCCAAAGTCAGGCCAAAACCTGACCCTCCGTTAAATATTTAAGCAAGATAATTCACGTCCTGATCCATCTCTACCTCGCACGAATCACGTTGAATGTTTTTGATCCACCAAGATCATTTTTTACAATCCGCAATTCCCTCATATCTTTGATGTATACTCTTTGGTGCATTTAATGACCTAGAAATCTCTGAACTCTCTTGACTTATGATGTAATAACATCCAAAACTTGAAATGCAATCAAGTTAGCATCGCACAAGCAGTCCTTGACCAAATCTCCAAAATCATTCTCGAAGGCTCAAACTTAGGTAACAGAATGATCTCGTAAATTTGCATAGTCAATAGACCAGCTGATGGCACTCATCGATTAAATTATGGATTCGTCGTATGATTCGTAGCATTTTTTTCTTAATCGAAATCTTTTTCTCTTGTTTATTCTTCCCAAAGCAAGATCTTTGTTGCTCTATAATTTCTTGGATAATTTAAATATTTTATTAAAATCACTTTACCCCACTCGATTAATTGATTGTCAGGGTCATAACCGGTCATAAACGTGCGAACACCTGGATCGAGCGATATTACCTTTTCCCGATCATCTTGGTTATCGATAATATCCAAAGAAATAGAAATACACAAGTAAAAATACTCCAGATGATTCACTGTTATTATTAATACCTGGTAATCATTCTGAGGTGATAATATTTTTTTAGGAACATGTATTTTCCTCTGTTCCTATTCCAATCTTAGCAAGAATCAAGATGGTTTGTGTTTGACCTTCTTTGATCAATACTTTATTCTTTTATCCAGAGAAGTTTTTCAATTGTAAAGTACTTATTGTTCAAGTAATGCTTTTGTATAATGCTCATGTTAATAATTCCATTATTTTGCATTATTTTAAGAACCTTGTTATATGTTTATTTCTTCTGGAATTAGACAAATTCTTATCTTTTATGTTTTTAATTTTTGAGCTTATTTATATCTTGTTATGAAAATAATAATAAGTTTTCAATAAGCTTACTTAATTTAATATTATCAATGTTCATAATTAAAATGAATTTAAATTATTTAATAAATATAATTTTACAAATCAATTATATTTCTTTGAAAAAAATATTTATTTATTACAAAAAAAATTCTTTTTTCAAATTTTTAAAAACTT